AAAATGTTTATCTTGCCAAAGAGATTGAATGCAGGTGATCAAATTAATGTTGCTGGCAACATGATGAATGACCCAAAAACGTAAGTAAATTTTGTCACTAACAAAAAAAGTTTTAGATGCAACAAATAGGTAGGTATAAAATTCATTTAATTATTCATGCAAATAATGATGGCAGGACATCCAACCAAAAACTAAACAAGGATTTTATATTACAGTTTATTCTTATTTAACATTACATCTTATAATTCAAATAATATATATAATTACTGTGAATAAAATCATGTATAAATATTACTCAAATTTAAACCTATACTCTACAAAAACTATCTAGAAATATGTTCTCATTGTTACCAAACAAAGTCTCTGTTAAGACTGAAATGATCAAAAATCAGTCGAGAGGGCATTATTGATCACATTTTACTTTAACTTTTTCAGATTGACAGTAAGTTTAATGACTGGGAGTATGACACCAGACTACCAAAATATTGCGTGCCAACTGGAAGCCACATTTCCATCCAATCCTTATAATCCTAATCAATTGTCATTAAAAATTATTGAAAATGGATATAATGAAGAAGTAACGGGAGACTATCAAAGTTTTCTTGCAACTGAATTATTTACAGGTAATATTATTATCATGTCTGTTTATAAAAACCACCATGTTTCTCACCAGTCTTTTCTTTCCTGTACCCAATGCAATATTAATGTATACAAAGTAGCAGATATATCTTCAGAAATTTAAGATGAGACTTTTAGTGAATACTACGTAAATTGTATTTAATTATGCAAGATTTTTCATGTATAACCACAAAACATAATCTTGAGAAATCTTTGTCCATCAAATTTTCAGTTGGTTACATTGTCGGCATATACATCCATGCATCACTCATTCTACACTACTTGTGCCAGACATAATGCTTATTAGATCAGATTAAAGGTAGATTAGGTCTTAGATATTGGGATAATCATAATACTACCTGATTTAAAAACCTATGATGTGTGTTTTACATAAATATTGAATTTTATTGTACTATTTCTAGTATAAAATGGTCTTTGGCTTCATTTTGATGTTTTGTTATATTATTAAAAAATGTATCCCAATGTCTTTCATATATTAATATTGTTTATTTTTATTACTTTAGGTTACAAATGTTACCATAAAGCAGCTATCCTATACATAATTGTTCGAGGTGTGAATGTTTTGTCAATGTGCAAGTAATGTTTATTAAATACCTAAGTATGGAGGTATCATTTTTATTAAAAAAATAATAATGCTAAAGAAGTTTTGTGTACAGACTCCCTTTCTGCCTGCCACTGCCTGCCATTACAATAAAATATCTTTAATTTGTGCTGTCAGCCTGTATATTTATGAGAGTATTAATTTAGCATTACTGTTTTACCTGATTTAGCTCTAAAGCAGCAGTGAAGCGACTACTGTGTTCCAGTTTGGGTAAAGAACATCTAGTTACATAAAAATTTACGTTACAATCAAGTTACATAAACTTTTATGTACTTAGAAACACAAAGCAATTAAATAAAATCTCTTTTTCAGATCTGAGCTTCAATTTTGGCTTCTCTATAAGAGTTAATGGAAACTATCAAAGTGGCCACATACTAGACATTTTTGTTGGAGAATCGTTTTTGGAACAAGTGACATTAAAACATAATATTGATGACATAAGATTTCTAACATTGAGTGGTGATATTGCTAAAGTTCATAAACTGGATTTTCAGTTTGCTTGAAAAACCAGTGCACATAAAAACATACACACACAAAACAGTATTTATCAGTTTACCTATGTAAACAGAATTAAGAGTTATTTACAATTCTTACTTGTTGCCATCCATTTTTTATTTCATATATAAGTTAGGTTTTGCATTTATTCTTATAATAAAATTTTAGGATCTTTTCTTTACATAATTACAAACATCCAATATTATATTTTCAATAAAATTGTTATTTATTTTCATAAGTTTAGCCCTAAGATTACACAATCCCACCATATCAGAAATATAATATTATTTTATTATGTGCTTTGTAGCATTCCTTGGGAAAGCCTTTGTGCAGCAGTGGATTTACGACGGGCTGCAATTATGATTCTTTTTTTTATTAAAAAGGTTATATTCCAGGGGTAGTCCCATATAAATACATATACATATATTATTCGAAGAAAATATTCCTCCCCTAAAAGTAGAAAAAATAAGGAATAGTTGTAATGTAACTATTTAAACAAAATTCGAGCTGGTGCTTTTCTATAGTCCGCTGAAAAGGGTCAAAAAATTAAGACTTTAATAAAATTAAAATATGTATATAATACGAGTCACATTGTTTGTCTGCGATGGACTCCTAAACTACTTAACCGATTTGAATCAAATTTGCACACCATGTGCAGTTTGACCCAACTTGAGAGATAGGATAGTCTTTTTGGCCATGAGTGACCCAGAATATTTTTTTGCGAATTTATGGATTTTTAACAGGACATGACAAAGGGTCGTCGAAAAGGGTAGAACAACGTCTAACTGGCAAGCTAGTATGTATATATTTTCACAATATCCTTAGCACGGACTCTCTTCTCTTATATTAGGAATAGAGTTTACACGCCATTGTTTCGACTTGCGTTATTTATGCATTTATTTATTCATTTGAACTTTTGTGCACATTAATGTCTGAAGGAATTCTTTCCCAGTCAACCATAAGACTAAGTAGAGATGAGTAATTGTTTTTCTTTCATTAAGTCCGGAATAATAATAATTAGAACGATATTTAGAATAGGTGTATGACAAAGTTTGATATGTTGATGCAAAAGTTTCACCAATATTACAATAAATGTAGAATCGTTGGCATCTATGTGTTTTAGTTATTAAGTTTGCAGCTGTTGTTGTTGTATTACATTTAGCTTAAACAAACACTAATTAATTATTATTTTATAAATTATTGTGACTAAAACTTACTATTTAAAAGTTAATATATGTGAATTATGTTATTAACATAACACCTTGTTTCTTTTATTTATCTTGAGCCCTTTTTAATCAACTTAAAAAAAGAGGTTCAATTTTGACTGTATGTTATTTTTAGTATATATGTTACGCGATATCTTCCTTCGCCAATGGCGAACTGATTTTAATGATACACATCAAGATTTTTAATGTAACTGTTTAGGTGACATTTTAGTTGGTTACCTTAAGCTTAAATTTTCGTAAAAAATAATATAAAGAAATTACATTATTACTTAGGAAATCAAAAAATTACAAAGTTTTAAAAGTGATGTGTAAGAACAAATAATTAGAAATATTCTGAAACTAATAACACATTTGGAATATTTACTATAATAGATAATGAATCAAAGTCTTCGTATCCAGTGTGTGTACAGTTTAACCTTGTATAATAAAACTGTTTAATCAATATGAATATGAAGCATCTGTGACCTTCAAGTGTATGTCACTTAAAGGCCATCAGATGCTATTAATCCTATTTTATTCCATTCCTCTAAAGTGTTATAAACGAAATCACCCATGTTCGAAGTTTTTATAATTCATTTAAAAATTAAAACCAAATAGCGTAACAGTTGCGGATAGTTCTGCCACTCAAGAATGTCTAGTAAAGTATTGTGTGGTAAGTCCATACCTAAAAAAGTTAAATTCTAGACTTTATAAGGAGATAATATTTCTATCACAGATCCAGTCCCTTCTTAACCGGTATTGGAGAATGTTATAAAAACAGGAATACAAGCATCAGCGTTCTTAAAAATAAGTATAATTCCGTCTCCAGGTCATTCAAGAGTTATTGCAAAGCAAAGTCAGTGCACATCATAATTAGCGAGAAACTACTTCGCCTTGCTTCGGGAATCCGTGCTGTTAAAATTTAGAATCATCAGGCAGGCAAGGGATGAGAGGGAGGGAGGGGGGAATGTCTCCTAACCCCCGACACCACTCCTATCATCGTTCTTGAGAAAAATCAAAAAGAATATCCCATAAACCTAACCCACCCATGCTTTCGATGTCTCGCCAAGGCTGTCCAATGGAACTTCTGTCAGCCATCTCTTCATTCTTTACACAGCGAGGACGACTCAATGTCTCATGCCGCAATAGAGAAAGCTGATCCTTTAGGCTCTGTTTTTGCGTCAACTAGATGACAGAGAGAACATCCACCGTCAAATACAGTGTATGAGTGCAAACAGGACGTTGAGTTTCTGCAAATCTCAGCTCCTCTTTCTGGAAGCCAACAAGTGGAGTAGGCCTGATAGAATCCCGCTTTTTGTACTAAAGACATGTCCTCCAGCGTCGGCACCAATAGTTACGAATCTTTTCCGGTACTCCTACTTCTGTCCTAGCTCCAAGAACCTTTGTGCATTCCTATAAGTAATTAATATGGAGCTTAGCGCGCGTTCAGATTTTCAAATTTTATGGTGACGTAGACAACTCATAACGTCGGTTGTACTAAACGTTACATACTTTGCACATTTTTGTTTTTGGTGGTATTTTACTTTTTCTCAATTTGTTTGATTTTTATTCCGTCTATCCATTCTGTTACAGCCTATAAAAGTTCGCGCAGCTGAACACAGGGGCCTCCCCCATAGATTTCCTCATAGGGGGGAATTTGACATAATTACAACACTTGGCATGCACAGGTTGGCATTCGCAGTTGTTTTATTATTTTAAGTTATTATACAGGAAAGTGCTGCTACCCATCTTCTATTTCCGCTCCTCGAGCCGATAGAGCCTCTTAGACATACACGGGATGATAGATATAGATAGATAGATAGAAGCGGTAGTAGATAATCTAATACCTAAATTACTGTTACTTAAAATAAATGTTTTTACTGAATATGTTTTTACTGAATATGTTTTTACAATTTGCTTAATATTACAGCAATTTTTTAAATCCGACAAAATCATCATAGGTACTACATCTTTGAACAAGTGGCGGTATTTTTACCCGACGGCCGTCTTCTACGCGGTAACTACATGCCACAGCATGCACTTACTAACAGACTCTATAATTACTCACCAACTGTTGTATAGCGTACGTAGGTCTCCTGGTTGTCCATCATGGCGTCGACTGCTTGCTTCTCGCAGTACAAGGCGGTGATGATCGCAATGCTTGGTTGTCGAGACGAATGCAGTGTGGGCATTTGCTTAACCACCTATGTATTGTAAATAATATATGTAATATTACTACCACTTCGTAGACTTAAATTACATGCGTACACACTTATTTTTAATGATACTGTGTGAAAAACGAAGATAATATAAATAGAATTCTAAACATAGTGGAGTGGAGACAGGAATTTTATTTACCCAAAAACTCATTAAATGTATTAGCCACACTTCTATTTTAACATGAACAATATTAAAATAACTGATAAGTAGATGGGCTTAAATTCAAAATCTATTGATTTGGGTGCGTTTGGCAGAAAAAAGCGCTAGCAAGCGCTTGAAAGCAAAATGGCGATCGTAAGCGGTAAGCGCTGTCAAATCGTAAGTAGCTATTTTCCTCTAGGACACGATGTTAGTTTTAACCGGGGAACCTAACCTAATTTAAATATATCTTTGTAAAGTATTCATATTAAAAACTTACTAATCATGAATTTTTAATAACATGTGTATGTTTATTCATGTCATTATATTACTTAAAACTAATATTGTACAAAACAACTTATAAACTCTACTTCAAAACAAACAAATTAAATAAGCAAAATGGCGGATTGTGTCAGCGCTACTGAAGTAGCAATCGTGTCCTGGCCGAAAACTATTTTAGCGCTTGTAAGCGCTTGCTAGCGCTTTTTTCTGCCAAACGCACCCAATGTGAGCAATTTTTCATAGATTTTCACAAGATAAAATTTGGCATTCAAATTATTCAATTACAGTTTTTACACGTGGTAGACCTATGTTGCAGCCAAAGATTATACGCGTCGAAATTATTTTTCGCTATGCATCGGCTATGGTACTATTAACCAATTTAGTATTGTCCAAGTGTTAGACCTGTGTGCACGCTAAATTAATGCAAATTTTTATAACTTTTATGCAATTATAATGCATCAAAATGCGCGGTGAAGTGGTGTGGAAAACATTCCAGGACAGATGTCCAAAAAGAATGTAGTAACTTTTCATTGCTAAGTAAAAAATACGAAAATTATTGTTGATTTATTCAAATTATGAGCCATTGTAGGGGTCTATCTAAAATGGTGGCCGGTGAAATAACGACATGGTTGAGTCGCGCGTTGATGTCTTTTGGAAAAGTCTCGTTCTATTATTAGACAATTCTAATGCTTCTATCCCTTTCTTTCCCTTTGTATGTTTATCGTAAACATTAGGACTTACTGTTACCTTTAATAGTTCAAAGTCGATATCGAAAATAATAAAATAAAAATTAATAAAAAGATTATTCAATTCACACACTGTGAAAAAATACTTATCTACCTTTAACCGTCTCCAGAAAAAAGGAGGAGGTTCTCAGTTTGTCGGTATTTTTTCTTAGTTAAAATTTATAGTTACTAGTTAAATTAGTTAGATTGGTGTACCAAATCAGAACGGCTTACAATTTCAAAAGGACACTAAAAACAAGTTATTGTACGGATCCACTACAGTAATATATATTTGTCGTCGTTGTAAAATTTTTAATAAGAGAGCGAGCAGTGAGAGTGGTTCAAAAGTGCTGTCTTCGAAATATAGTACCAATTATTTTATGAGAACGGTTTTTAAAATCTCTGATTAGGTATTATTGATTCCCGTATATTCATTTTCATCAATTTGAAATAGAATCAACAAATCATTTAATTTAATTAGCAAGATGCGTAATTTACAAATATGTAGACGCTTGTTTAAATTTTTTTTACAAAGAACAATCAGGACCCTTAAACTTTAATTCGAAATAAATATAACAAATTAATTCATTTTAAAAATCAATAATAATATAATAAATAAAATGTTTTCGTTGTAACTGATTGATTTTGATTAAATATTATTTCTATAATTTTAATTGAGTATTTTTCATAATGATAAAATCCATTTTATCGATAACGAATATTTTCCTTTATTAAGAAGAGCAACCCTGAAGATAGCCATAACAACGTAACTTGACCATTTGCAGCCACGCGTTCTTCCTCGTCCCCCGGCCCGCAGTAGTGAGTCGTATGCTTAGAAGAAATCTGCCTATACGCTCTCTAGTGGTTATATTCTCTATGGTTGCAGCTATATCATGGTTGTAGCACGAATGGGTCGGTTCGACCGGGGAAGGACTACGCTCTCATAGAATACGAGCACAAAGTTGCAGCTCCATGCTGCTGTGTTCCACGTATGGTGAGTGTAGAGAATCAGAGACCCTTTTTATTGGATACAGGGGTAACAACGCATCTGTATTTTGATTCTTCATCGAGGATAGATGTTGATGTCTTTTTGCCACAGCATCCACTTACCGTCAAGTGGGCTGTATCGTTAGTTACCCTTAGTCCATAAAAAGATATCCGGACGTTGTTTCGTCCATAAAAACCTATTCCTCTGTTTTCTATTAGTGACTGATAATGACATTAAAACAAATAAATTACGATATAATTGATATCTACCACTGCCATTTTCCTGTTTCGCTTTTTTCCATAAATTAATATTTTAAAAACTAGGAACCCTTTCAAATTTCTAAAATTGCCCAGTTAGGGCTTAAGCCGAATGCGTATCATCACACTACTCGGGTTAACGCCGATCAGCTGTTGCGGCGGCTATTCACAAGCGATCGGGCAATCTTCGAAAGGTCGTTGCGACGTCTACTCACTTGCATTTGACAGACTGTTGTGTATACTCAACATTTCAAATAGGAAACAAAATCGTTATATACTTGAAAATAAATACGCCAAAATAAAATAATATCCTCTCATTTTGCTAAAGAGCAAAGTTTACCTGAGTATCAATACTATGCTGACGTATGTAAAGGCCGTCCGACATAGATCTCGTTAAGCCCTTTTCTTCTAACGCCTCTAAGGCATCTTTTACTTCTGCCTTTGACCATTTTCCAACCCTGAAATAATTCAATTAAATTTAATCTTAACATTTTAATAAACAAACTGATGAATGTTATGAATTTTAAATTTAATGTTTAATTTACTATAAATTAAATAAAGGAAAAATTGATACATGTATTGTGTTTTCCAACCCTGAAATAATTCAATTAAATTTAATCTTAACATTTTAATAAGCAAACGGATGAATGTTACGAATTTTAAATTTAATGTTTAATTTACTATTAATTAAATAAAGGAAAAAATTGACACATGTATTGTGGGTCCTACAATTTGGTCCTAGGTAAAAATATTTGTGAATCAATTGTTGTATTGTCCTTATTCATCTTAGACCTACCTGTTGAGGGCATTCAGTCATTTTGAATAAACCAATAAGATAATAATAGTCGTTAAGCGCTGTTTCCCTGCTCTGTAAGAGCGATTTTTTGAAAATGCATGTCTTCTATCGTATTTTGGAAAGGCCTTTTTCAGCACTTCAGCAACAAACTAAAGGTAAATGATAACGACAATGATAAATTAATACTACGTATTAATTTATACTACGTATTAATTTATCATGCCGTCTCTAGGAACTCGGCGCGGCGTAGCGATTCAGTGCATTGTACATCTACTCACCATGCCGAACATACAGGTTGGTGAGCGTAAAAGTTCATACCATCGCTGTGGTATGTTGCCCATATCACCAGTCTTCATATTTGGTTACGACATATTTGGATGAATTTTTCATCGATGGCAAACGATTATGTGGTAAGTTTGAAGACGGGCTCCATGATAACCCAACATTCAAATGTTGAATGACGGATGATGTATTTTTTTATACAAATATTTTCTAAAAATTATCAGACTTATGAATAATACTAACGTCACAAAATCTTCCACTGTCAATGGATTGGGATAAGCATTTTCGATCATGTCCAACACTCTTTGCTCCGATATAATTTGTGTTTGGTTCAAAACACTATCTTCAATAAAAGCTGAAATTAAGGTCTATTGAAATAGTCTGCAATTATCACAAATAAATTTAAACTATTAGCGAAAAATTATATTTTAAACATGCCCCAAATTATTATTAGTTTCTATTAAATTTTATAGTGTAAGATATATGTATATTGGTAAATATTAAGTTACTAACTAGTATATAAACATATACGTAAACACTCACGCCTGTCAGCCAGAGGGGTAGGCAGAGACTACAGACTTCCATTTAGCACGATCCTGACATACCTCTCTCGCCTCTTCTACATCCATATACCTACGCATACATGCTCGTCGGTTAAGGATACTCTTAATTTGGCCCATTTTTAATATATCGCCAATTTGGTCGACAAAATTTCGCCTAGGACGTCCCTTTCCGACTCTTTCATTTACTTCTGCAACATATATTTGCTTTGTCAGTCTTTCCTCATTCATTATTTCTACATGACCAAACCATCGAAGCATTCCTTTCTTAATCCTGGTAACCGCATCATCTTGCAAACCACACTCTTCTTTTATCACACAGTTTTCAGTTTTTTTACCTGTACTAGATAATTACAACTTTCACTACCATACGTTAAAGTAGGGACTAATACAGTACTGTGAATTGTCATACTTGCCTTTTACTAACTAGTATGTATTTTGCATTCATGTGGAACAAGGTGAATATACAAATGGAAGGTTACGACCGACATGTCTCGACACGTATACCCCAAAACTTGAAAACAAGAGTTTACAACCAGCGCGAATTGCTTGTAACGCTATATGAATCTGAGACGTGGTCCTTCACTGCTGGCTGAAAGCTCAAGGTCGCTCAGGGAGCTATAGAAAAAGCAATACTCGGAGTTTCTCCGCATGATAGATAATGAGGATATCCGCAGTAGAACCAGAGTAACTGACACGGTGCAATGGATCAAAACCTGAAGTGGCAATGGCCGGCCATATAGATCGAAGAACCAACAACCGATAGAGGGGGGGAGGTACTCTAGTGTTAGCCTTGTGCCGGTATGCAAAATGTAGGACAGCCCCCTCCCCCACTAGACGGAGTGACGATCTGGTAAGAAATGCAGGAAACGCGGATGGCTTCGCACGTTTATGGCATTCCCTGGAGGTGGCCAGTGGGCTTGTGATGGGCTGTAATGACGATGATGATGTAAGACTATGGTAAGTAACAAAGTATTGAGTATCTAGTTATTGCTATTAACTACTTATGATGGTAAAATTTTAATTTCATGCGCTAGTGCGATTGAAAATGCACCTACTATGAAAGTCGATTACGGCAAGTCCTTCATTCTGAATGCAGCACTGGATTTTTTGCTGAACTTTTTTACATTTATAAATTAAAATTTAATTCTCCGCTTATTTTTTTATCATAATATGATTTTTAAAATATATTCAAAGATATTTATATTAAAGTCGTGAGCAAAGCTTTTATTTACAAAACTGAAATAACAAACGATCTAACAGGGGCCCCTTATGGAAAGTGGCTACTGGAGTCCACACTTATATCTGCGATCAATTTATATGCAAAAAAATATACACAACATATGCACTGTTGTTGAGGATTAAAAAGATTGATTTATATATTACACTAGATCAGTAATAACCGTGCCCAAAGCGTTGCCACTGCACATATATGCCTAGCTAACGTCAGTTCAGTGTTCAATGTGACGCCGACAGTTGAACCGCGACAAAAAATGGGTAAATGCGTAGTGAAAGAATGCTATTCAAGGTCATAAAAACGTAATAAATTAAGCGGAATCACTTTCAACACATAATTTTTAGTTCTTGTTTTCATATAAACGTAAGAAACCTAAAATAATTAAATAAAATTATCGAATATTGCCATTTAGGTTCAATGTTGCCACTTTTCCGCATTTGTGATTATCCTACATTAATGGGAGACAATATAATTAATAGAGTAAGTTAATTTTTTACCTCTGATTTTAAATATTTTGGAAATTATAATAAACTTTCATACAAAATAATTAATTATTCTTATTTTAGTTTATTCATGAAATTAATTATAATTTCATATAAATTTTATATTAATTATATTTTATTACCTATTTTATATTGTTTGATTTATTAGTACAATAAAAATACTTATAAAAATATGTTTTATTTCATCATTATGTTTACTTCTATTCATCTGATAAGCTTTGTATCCTTTTTTTCTAAGAATTTAAAAACATTTAACTGCAGCTTAAGAAAACTCATTTTTATTGCGTATTTTAGGTAAAATTTCATATAGTAAGCCACACCAACCCGCCATTGCATGTTTGTGTGTCTGTCTTTATCTAATCTTAGCGACGATATTGTTTTCGCAACTTGTGTGAGACGCAAGTGAGATAGATATATGTTTATTTAAAATTGTTATTAGTTTCAAAGCTACGTCGTCGCGTTTGGATAGTGGTTACACTTTTTTCGACGCGTGGTAATATGGTTTGCTCCTCTAGTGTTTTATAACTCAATGAATAAAAATGAATGTCATACATACCATTATACTGGCACTCTCAAACACTTTAAGCCGGAATACAATAATGAACGAATTGCTGTATGGCAGCATAAACGTACGTAAAGCATGCTGTCATATTTGCAAAAAATATAAACTACCCGTACGAATAAAGAATGGGATTGAAAATGGCGTCGCCTCTATTCACCTCTCGCTCGCACACTGTCGCTATCTATACTCACACCCGCGGGTAGATTGCAAAAATTAGGTTGTGATATGCGTTTCTCGGTATAATTGCCGTCATGAGTCGTGAGCACACTTTTTATTGGTCGATATGACGTCGACAACGCTGAAGCTCAAAGTGATTGTTTCGTCAGCTGATTCTCGTCGTCTATTGGGTTCGCACGTATCATTCGTCTACCGTACACTCGAGAGCAATTTTAGTGACAACTTTTTAATTAGTTTATTTTTGTTAATTGTAGTGTTACCTCGTTGTTAATTGTTGTTTGTTTATTTCTTGTTTTCACCCGTTTTGATATTTATTGTTGCAAATTTTTTTGTCATAATTTGAGCATTCAGATTTTGGTCTAAACATGCAGAGAAGAAAGAATTCAGCGTTAAATAGATAATCCCGACAAATGGTCTATTCAGTGTATTGCTAAAAACATGATAGACGTTTAGAAACAGACTGCTGCGGCGACTAATGTCTACGTAGCTACTATACGGCGTATATTTATAGGAGTTAACGAATCAGAATTTCGAAAAAAAGTCAGCGAAAATATTCAATTACGAATTGAAATAACAAAGGTACCAAATAATTTTGGCCGACTGTGTACCTACGCTGGCTCAACCCCCACCATAGTTCATCTGTGCTCATGACTCGTGGCGTCAACTATACGTTCTATAACTTTAGTCTATAACTTATATAATATATATCGAAAAATTTTGAGAATTTTTTAAAATAGAAATATTGATAAGATAAAATGAATGGTCTTTAATGATTATCTTTTTCTTTATAGGGTGACAAACGAGCACACAGTCCACTTGATGGTAAGTAGATTCTGTGGCCCATAGACATCCACATTTATCCTCTTTTATTAATCTAAATGTATATATTGATTTAAGATAATAAATTTTCTTAAGTCTAAATAACGCCACAATAATAGATCCTATCCAAGAACAGCCAAACATGTCACTAGTTATACATGTTATATTAAAATTAATATAAATACTTGGGTTTGAAATTATTTTCAAATAGTTTCTCTTTAATAGGAAATTTCAATGATTTCTTAAATTTACGCGAACACTACACATTGAATAAAACGAGCGTCCATTAAGACATACTACAAGCCGCTGAAGAAGATTAGTCAATTTTTACCATCCATCAAATGTAATATTCCTCTACAAGATGCAGGTGTGTACAAGCTAGATTGTGAATGTGGTCTCTCTTACATAGGTCAAACAAAGAGATCTATAAAAACCCGCGTGAAGGAACATATAGCTGATGTGAAGCACCGACGCTCCGGGAAGTCTGCAGTCTGCGAACATGTTCAAGATCGTCCCCACCATTACATTAGATTTGATAAACCACAAATTCTCGCAAAAGAACACCGATTCCTACCAAGGATGATACGCGAGGCTATTGAAATTAAAAAACATCCAAATTTCAATAGAGAAGATGGTTGGGTGCTACCATCTGCTTGGGATCCTATAATTAACAAAATTAAACCCAAACCCAAGCATACCACTGCAAGACTTCATGATACTATAAGCTCGTTTTGCGTAAATCGGACCAAAAATTAATATTAAAAAACTGAAGGTAGCCGGACTAACTATGACATTGGGACGTCAAACATCTCGGTCCCCCCCGTGACCATGGGCGCTGTAAAGCACCCGAAACGTCGGGATAATAATAAAAATAAATTAAAGTAATTAAACGCGATAAAATCCGTAAATAATAGTTTTATTCAATAGGAAATTTCAAATTAACCGAATAATAACGATATAACGATGGACCGTTATTAGCGTGTTTTCGCTATAGGCACAGTCGCCATTTCTAATCCCATTCTTTATCCGTATGGACTATACAAGGTGTTACAATTGCCCTAAAAAGTTGCTTTATAGTAAGATTAAATAAAATAAAAAGAAAGAAAAAAAGCAAAACTCCACGCCACAAACGAAAACTAATATTGCTGCAGTTAATCAGTTAATTTGTGTTAATATTATAAATAAAATCACAAAAGGATATAACATGACAATATGTGCAAATTTCGCAAATGTATTAAATAAACTTGAACAAGCGAGCTCAATAACTAAAACCTCATGCACTATATATGCCAAATATACCATACATACAGCCATTAGAATACTTGTATATAAGATCCTTACTCGTAATAACGCCATTTGATTCTGTTTCATAAAATTGAACAAAATAATAAATTAAACATAATAAGAATTATATATTATACCACACATGTTGTGACAAAATTAACAAATTGTTATTGACAAAATTATTTTAGAATATGCGCAAAGGCTGTAATCATTTCAACACAATTCAATAACGGTGGATAAAAAAATCTTAATGAACTTTTAATATGGGCGAATTTACGTTAGATGGCATTATGTGTCAGCAATACTGAATAAATACAACCTTTCCCGAAAAGCCATTACAAAATATATAAACAAATTAGGTTTATTTAAATTAATTAACTTTAAATATCATGATACTTATTGCGTCGTTAAGTCTCATAACAACAAATCAAGATAGACGGAGCCATGCATACTTTCAAGTAATGCCAAAACCAAGACAAAACAATGCTCAACTTATTATAAAAGCACGCACGCACATGGTTTTTGGTGCATATGTATGCCGTCCACCAGTAAACTTTTACGAGCTCTTAAAGCAAGAAAAATGTGTACGGTTTCGACTTCACTTGGAATGTAAGTGATCTTCTATCTATCTTTATTTGTTGGTCTGAGCGTTAAGTACAACTATTAAATAAAAAAATATTTTACACTAACAAACAAATATTTGAAAAGTGCTATAAAGTTTAAAGGTTATTTATATTTATTTTTGTCTGCTTATTATTTTTTACTTTACAGTAATTCTGTTTTTCCAAAATACACCGTACATCCAAATTCATTAATATAATATACACTTGAGCAATGGTTTATAATATTGTAAGCAGTGGAACACTAAAAACATTGTTTAAAATTCTGTTTAGAATTTTAATTAAACAGGAAGACATTTATTACTGAAAGCTTTACATCTCAGAGTAATTAATAGCATAGAGTGAACCCTAAAGTAAGAATAAAGTTCTTGTACTTAAACGCTTTACGCATAAGGCGTTGTACGAAATAAGACGGCTATATTATTCTCACTTTTTTTTCTTACAAAATTGATGGTGCCATTGAGATATGAGTAATTTTTTTCAAAACTTTCGTTTGGCCGTGTATCTGAGCTAATCATCGCAATTACTGAACCAATTGTAAAAAAACACCACGAACAAAAATAGAAAATAACACCGGGAGTTATCTAGACTAAATTTTATCAAAAGAATTTAGAGATTTTATTAAAATAAAAATAAAGGGTCTGATGATTATCTCAAATCTACAATTACCCAGGCGAAACCAGAGCGGTTCGGTAGTTATGAATATTTTTTTTAAGTAATGTTTATATTTGCGTATACAATTCTTATCAAATATTTTCCCAGAAAATTTCCAATTAACCGAATAATATAATGTTATAACGATATACCGTTATTAGCGGGTTTTCGCTATATTATTAATGTGCATGTTGATGGTACGAGCTCAATATGCACATTTTTAATCCCATTCTTTATCCGTACGGACTGTAACCAAGTACCCCTTTGAAATATTTTATTTACTTGTTTGTCTAATCGACACCGCTTCACCGTTTCACGGAACGTACACAGAGGTTACTGCTACGATAGTACAAATACTGCGCCACGACCACGGTCTGCCTCCTCTATTTTCGATCCATCACAACTACCAATAAATCCATTAAGATCGTACTACCCGTTTTCCTCTCTGCTCCCTCACGATATTATCCATCATTAATTCATTAATTAAAGCCTATCAAAAATCAACTGCTAAACAGGCCTATTCCATAGATTGCCTCATAGAGGGAATATTTGCCTCAGTTCCCTCTCTTAGTGTTTTGTCAACAATAAAAGCACTGCTCTCTATTTCCTGTTCATTTTCCTCTGTCGCCTTTTACGATACTCAAGTGAGAGTATGGTGCTTTTAAGTATGAAGTAGTTGATTCTCTTACGCCGTCGCGCGAGCGTAAGCGTAACCGTAGCGATAATAAGGGGTATATTTTATCATCGGTTATCGAGATCCTGCCTTCACTTCACGAATTGCAATATATTTTTATTAAAGCAGATACAGCTTTCGCGATTTTTTTATTTTTGCTAACTAGCATATAAAATTGGGATTACAAATGGGATCCAACTCGCTATTTAATGAGTGACTGTTAATTAAGGGTAGTATTTAGTATTGATACCTCACTAACAACATTAAAAATCTGCGACACGAATATTTGCAATGTAATATCATCATCACATGATTTCGAAAACAATTGACATGATAAACATGGGAACGAAATATCACTATAGATTAAAGACGTCATGTCTTGTAAATATAAAACATATTATATAACTATAACAAGGATGCCATTATTTTAGTAAATAAGAAGATACAAGTACGAGTGTACTTACTCTCATCTTTGGCATTAGCATAAAGAGACCAAAGATGACCACTTGTCATTAAAGCTCTAGGCATAAATTACATGCAACATCTTTCAATAGTGTTTCTCTTTTTGCCATAATCAAAAATTTAATTGGAAAAAGCGCGATAAGTATATTGACTCCATTTATGTACGTTCTGTTTATGCATACATAATATGTATGTAATTACTCTGAGATTTTTATGATTACATTCACGTATTTACATATGATTTCATCACTTTTTTATACGGTTTACAGATTTCCAATGCTTACTTACCGTTACTTAGACTATACTAATGAATAGGGCTGTAAAATTGAAATTTTTCAAAAATATGTTTAAAAAATACAAACCTGGTGGTGGAGGTCCACTACCTTCTTGTCTTAGTTCTACCTCCAACACTTTAAGTTGGTGGTACTTTTGCTGCATTAATTTTATTATCTTTTTTATGAAACCCACATAATCTGAAACCGATCCATGTATAAATAAAAAAGAACAGTAGTAAGAATAGTAATTTTACATGTAATATACAATACATTAAAAATTGTATATAACATGTATAAATAAAAAATTAAATTATAAATTTGGATTGTTACATTAAAAGAAATCTGATTATATCACTGGCGGTACTTGCATTTGTTCCTGCCGCTAGGACGACAATGAAAGGCTTCTTTGCCACTTTTAATTGGGCTTATGTTCTCATATTATACATCTATATCTTTTTCATACATAGAAGTTGGTTTGTCATATGAAAAAAAATTTAAGGAACTAGGGAGTTACCTTTTGGAAAATCATGTGGACTAACAAGTTCACGGAAAAAGCTTTGGGCCTCATGAGGACACTCGTCACGAGGTACTTCAGGCTTGAACCAAAATCTTAATGCTCTTGCTTCCCGAGTATGAGTTCCAGTTGCTGCAGACACAAGATATACACAAAACTCTAACTGAGCATGACATGGCTCTGTCACTCCGTTTTCTGTAAAAGAAAAAAAGCTTTTACACTCTATGCTATGTATTTAACAAATTAATTATTAATAACTAATTATAATTAGTACATATATAAAATTTCTAAGTGTTTTAATAACTAATTTTAATACTTTAAGTGAGCAATATTTATGTTTACATAAATATATCTATAAGGGTTATTGATATAGTAGTTTGGTTAGTTTACGGCGGGTTTTTTCACGCAACTCCACATCTAAACGCATATTTAGCGTGTAATTAGTATAATAATAAAATTCATACCTAACTTCAACTCAAACACGTCAACTCGTCCCAATGAAGATTAGTCAGTCAGGACAGGATATATTGTGCCCGAGTATATTATGCATGCGCAAGATCTGTTGCACTCTATATTTCCTTGCTCTCATTGTCTGATAGGTTAGCAATTTAACTTGATTGGGGAGAGATTAGGCGCAGAACTTACGGCTTTATGGGCTTATCGAGGCACGAGCATGCAATCGGGAAGCGGAAAAAATCTCTTCGTATTTTAATTAATACTGCTGTTCCTGTGATACTTGGAGATATGTACAGAGAGCGGCCAAGGGTATTGATAAAAAAAGAGCAACCAAAATGAGGCTGGACGAAACCACCTCGCCGAAAAGCTGTTACGCGACAACTAGAAGGCGTTGAATTGGTTGAAGGAGAACATCATTCCCCTCGTCCTTAAATCGGACACATTGCTGGTCATCAAGGTATCCTCATACCTGACAACTGATAATAACAAATTAGAAATCGTGGAATGATGTGGGCAAAAACCGTGTTGCTATTTAGGAATAACTTCATGGTTGGAGAGGAAGTTTCTAATATGCTTTACTACAATTTTCTCCATAACCTTGCAGACCACACTGGTTAAGCTGATGGGTCTGTAATTGGATGGTTCCAGCTTGCTACCTTTTTTAAATATGGGTGTCACCAATGCTGTTTTCCATAAATCCAGTAATATGCTTGTCTCGTACAATGTTTGCATTATTTTTGCTAAATACTGAGATAGGTTGCATTTCTTCAATATAGGTACTGGTATATCATCTGGTCCCATAGATGAATCTGTTTTCATTTATGAAATGACTCGGTTGATTTGGTCTGGTGTGAACCGAATTTCTTCAATGGAATTTTTTACTTGAAGTGGCGGGTCTAATGTAGGGAGTTGGTCATGCGGTTCTGTTTTGAAAACACTTGCAAATTGTTCCAAAAATATCCCGGAAATTTCGTGAGGTTGGGTCACACTTTGTCCTTGTTTGTTTAGCAAAATAGTAGGAATGCTTACTTTTGATATTACTTGCTGTCTTATGTAGGAATAAAACTTTTTTAGTCCAGCATGCAGTATTTCTTGTTCATAGGTTGTTCGGGCTTTCCTATTTTGATTTAACAGTTGGTTGTTTATGTTTCTGTAGTCTCTATAATGCTGTTCTAGTCCAATCAGCATGTATCTGTTCCACAAAGCTATTTTGTTATTGATGAGCTTTTTAGTTTTGTTTCTACTAACCCAGGGCTTGTTCACATATCAGGATCTATATTTTAAAGAAACTCGTGTAATTCGTCATGAAGATATATTCACAGCAACAGCAGAAGACTGGAATTTAGCACAGACAGGTAACAATGGATAAGATCCATTGGGCCATTTAGTTTCCTCTCCTATAGGGCAGCAGGATCTGATGACATATTCCCCACACTTCAACAGTGGGGGAGTAAAGCCCTAATTGACAGACTTGTTGCCATAATGAGAGCATGTCTGGCGTTCAAATATGTTCCTAGGGGATGGAGGGAAGTGAAAGTTACATTCATACCCAAACCAGGTAAGTGACTATACGGACCCTAAATCCTATAGACCCCTTAGCCTCACAGCCAGCCTAACACCAGCAGATTAAGGGAGTCGGCACTAATAAAGTTACTGTTACATATTGAATGAAATTCTCACCTTTTATTAACTTATTTCCAATCACTAGATGGAGTGACAACCTGGTAAGACATGCAAGAAGTCGATGGATGCAGGTGGCTCAGGACCGTGCTTTGTGGCATACCCTGGGGGATGCCTCTGTTCAGCAGTGGACTTGTGAAGGGCTGTAATGATGATGATGATGATTAACTTATTTATAATTCCTGATATTGCAGGTGCTTTACAGTACCCATGGTCATGGGGGGGTGGACTGAGATGTTTGACGTCCCAATGTCATAGTTGGCCCAGCTACCTACAGTATTTGAATATTCATTTTTGGTTTAATCTACGCAAAACGACCTTACAGTATCTTGAAGTCTTGCAGAGGTATGCTTGAGTTTGGATTTAATTTTGTTAATTATAAGATCCCAAGCAGATGGCAGCACCCATCCATCTTCTCTATTGAAATTAGGATATTTTTTAATTTCAATAGTCTCGCATACATCCTTATTTCTTTTGCAAAGATTTGTTCTTTATCAAATCTGATGTAATGGTAGGGAAGATCTTGAACATGTTGACAGACTGCAGACTTCCCAGAGCCTTGGTGCTTCACATCAGATATATGTTCTTTCTTTCTTATAGCTAACTTGAAGCACTAAAGAAGTAGGCATGAGTGGAGGAGAAAGAAACAACAGCCCTCGTGTTGCTGACATATTCGGAGATCGCTACATACAGAGCTAAACATCTCAGCACGCCGCGATCACTCCCTAAAGTTGCTCACAACATCATAGGACTGTTGAACTGCTTCGTTGCATGGCTCGAATAATGACATTATTCTTGCCCACATGCAAAATACGCGATTAGACATGGAGTTGCAGAAAACAATCCATCATTATTTATCAATCTATATCATCATACTACCTCTTATAGCACCTGGCCAATAGTATAAATGCTTTCCAAGTTTATCTAGAAAAGTGTCATCCCTGAGAGAACTATTTATTTCTAATGATGAGCAAAGCTCAGTCCGCTCAATTAATAAGTTAATAAATCGCAAACATGGTTACATCATTATTATGTATACATGTATAAATTATTGACTGTGCAGTGGCAGTGTAGTAAAATCTGTTACCCCATATCATTCTGTGACTGTAGTAACAAGCAGATTTTGGGATTGAAGGGATTTTGCAATAGTCAGTTTCCACAGATTTTTATTATTTTGTTATTATCAGGAAGATGCTGCTGTCAGTCAGATCGTATCAGTTCTCCTCTGTCATGACACCAAGAGGATGATAGTAGATGGTGAAAACTCTCATGCCATCCCTACATAGCAGTATTTTAATTATAACTTAAAACTTATTAATACATAATTAAAATATGAAAAATAAAATTAATTTCCTATAGTCAAAATAAAATAAAGAAGTGGTTACAATTGTGTCGGTCATTGTAATAGTGGTGTAACTCCATAATATAAAAAAAAAAATTATTTTCCCATAGTGGGCTCACAATGTATTATATCTTTCAATATAAAAATGAAGCAACTCCACTGATACCACTAAAGTGACGTAGATGTCGCTATTTTGTTTAGTCTAGCAACAGATTTGTACTGTTATTCACTATAAAAGTGAAGTATGTCCCAAGTCACTTTTATAATGAAGTAAGTCCGGAGTTGATTCACTTTTATTGCGACCGATTGTTGTCATCCGTTGTACGTGTTGTGATAATTATTAAAAAAGGATTTTCAAAGTCGGTGTTTTTGTGGGGTTTTAATACAATATGTCTAATACAGAAGATTTTAGTGATTCTGGTTCTGAATATCAGCCTATTCCTGGAGAAATTCATACAGAATCTGGTAAGTTATATTTTTATTAGTTGTTTTTCTAACCTAAAAATATTGTGATAACTTTCAAGTTTATAGACAAGAAAATACGACATCTAAGAATACATTTTCTATTTAGTTGTCCTAGAAATCACTATTATTTTATTGGTTTCGTTTTTATACTTGTTTCAGAAACAGATACAAGTTGTGACGAAAATATTATGATGCCGTCTAGTCTATCAGAACCTGGAACATCTAAATCTAGAAAAAGGTCAATCAACAAGGAAAATTGGACAGTTAATAAAAGAAAGTTATTGCGTAATAATGGAAAAGGTTATGTAACTAAAATGGGAGTGGAGAAAAATACCAAAATCTTCGAAAATATTGACTGTGGATGTCCTAAAAAGTGTTATACGCTTTTTACAGAAAATGAAAGGCAAGAAATGTTCGAATCATTTTGGAATTTAAAGGACTTTAATCAGCAAAATGCCTTTCTATATGCATTAGTGCAAAAAGCATCTGTTATATATATAGAAAACGACCTAAAGATCTGTCACGAGCAGGAAAAACGTTTCGTTTAAGTATTTTCTCAAATCTCATATTATGACACAACTGGTATGTAAAAAATATTTTTGAAAACATTCCAAATCAGTGATGGAAGATTATATCGCTGTCTATCAAAAGACGATGTCTCGCAATGTAAACATAAACGAGGCACGACTAGTACTCGAAAATTAGATGATTCTGACATTATTATTCATATACAAAGCTTTCCCGCGTACCAAAGCCATTACACAAGAAAAAGTAATCCTAACTGGAAGTTTTTAAATCCTGGGCTAACTATTCGAAAGATGTACGATCTATATAAAGAAAAATGTTTGACTGAAATGACAGTACCTAAAAAATTAAAATATTATAATAAAGTTTTTAACACCAAGTTAAATCTACATTTCAAGGCACCGCACCAGGATACATGTAAGACTTGCGATAGCTTGAATTTTAAAATTAGAGGCACCGATGATGAGAATGTGAAGAAAGAGTTTGAAGTTCAAAAGGAACTATATCAAAGAAAGGCAGATTCGGCAAGAGAAAATCTACAAATTGATGCTAAAAAGATTAATGACGCATATGTACTAACCTTTGATTTGCAGAAAGCTTTAGCTTTCCCAAAATTAACTACTTCGGTAGCATACTATAAAAGGAATCTGTATTTGTATAATTTGGGAATACATTGTTTTAATAACAACACAGGGTACATGAACGTCTGGAATGAGATAGAAGGAGGGCAAGGGTCTCAAGACATTGCAGTCTGTCTCGTGAAACATTTAAAAACTCACACGGTAACACAAAATCACGTCATCATGTATTCCGATTCTTGCACTGGACAAAATCGAAACATTAAGACTACCCTTTCCCTTTTAAAGCTCGTACAAGACCCGGATACTAGTATAACCACCATAGACCACAAGTTTTTAGTGTCCGGGCATTCTTATTTGCCTAATGATGGGGAATTTGGGATAATTGAGAGCGCAAGTCGCCGTCATGGACAAATTTATAGCCCGGATCAATGGATTGAGATCATAAAAACAGCCAAATGCAAAGAACCACATTTTGTTGTAAACGAAATAAAAAATTCCGAATTTATAAGCACTGTGGCATTAGAAAAATCTATTACCAACAGAAAAAAAACAACCTGTGGTTACGACTTCAACTGGCTGAATATTAGATGGCTGAGGTTTGAGAGGAATCATCCTTTACAATTTCAATTTAAAGAAACGCTCAACGCTGACATGCCCTTCTACAAAGTAGATCTATCAAAAAAGCAACAAGGACGACCAGCTTACTTGTACAATATTCAACAAGGCCTCTATCCTTCAAGAAGACCAGTCACTATTGCTAAGAAGAAGGATATGCTTGATCTTCTCCCATACATTCCACCAATTTACCATCAATTTTACAAAAACTTTACTGTAGACATTCCAACACGGTCAAGCACACGTAATGCTGATGAACGTTCATCTGATGACGAAATAACCTACGATTAACCACTTAACGAAATCACAATAAGTATAACTCGTCACTTTAACAGTGAAGTAAGTCCACAAAAAAAAATTATAATTCGTTTCATTAAAATAACTTCGTCTTATTTTTAAGTAACTATATACTATTATAATATTTCATTCGTTAACTACAAAAAAAATATAAGGCATTGAATAAACATTTGTAGTTTTTTTTCTACGCGTTAATTAACAAAACTCTTAATTTCTCAAAACTTCATTGCATGGAGATAATTCACTATTACAATGGACACAATTATGTCATTAAAAACATTTTTGATTAGATATTAAAATGCATTTTTATCAGAAAATTAAATTTGAACATCATTAATATATTTTACTGATAGATTTGTTGTTACTTGATGTTGTTATAATATGAAGACTTGGCAGTCAAAATGTTGAGTTTGTTTTGTCTCATGCTATCATAAATCAATACCTAATTTAAAATGCAATAGACCATGATGCCTTGGTCAATTTTTATAAAACGAGAGCTGATTATTTTATTCTTTACGAAGAAATAGAAAGTTTGTCTCACCATAAACTTTTTCCTTGTTTATAATGATTCCAGTGTGATCACCACCAGCAATGTGTATTTTATCACTCGGTTCGGTATCAACAACCTTTCTTTCTACAACTATGGTAGTGGATGTTGGTGTTTTACACTTGGGCGTCATAATAACTTTTTCTTCGGAGTTTTCCATAACTTATTATTATTGAGATTTTTCTAAAAATGACTCAGTACACAAATTTCCGCTGTGCAATAATAGTTTTAGTACGTACACAATCAAGCTGCTATCAATCACTTATTTAAGTTCCTGTTCGAACTGAGGCTATGAATCACAAAGTATCTTTTTCCTTTAACTAAATTTCAAGCAATCAGACCAATAATTTTTATTGGTACATTGTAAATGTAAAATATATTTAAATAGATAATTATCATACAATTCGAGTTTACGAAACAAGGAGAAATATTTTAATCTAAAGGTAATAGAATTATATTTCTTAGAAACTATTTCAAAATCATCAAACAAGGTTAACAATAATTATCGAAGGTAAACATTAAACAAGCCAAAGAATAAAACAGAATAAAATTATTCGTCGATCCTCGCCTTGGGTGGAGCCACAGATTACTCATACAACTTTTTTTATTAACTGACTTTACGGCTCTGGGTTCTAGTCTTTCTGAGCCTACGGAATATTCATTTTATATTCTTTTTTTTTTTCACAATATGCTGATGCGTCACATTGCGAAGTCCTTGGGAGATTTTGACGACAGCTCAACCTAGCGGACAGTTGATAACGACAGCCACTCAAGTTCATAAGGCGCCCAAGTGATCAAAATTAACTTGAGGTTTATATCTACATCAAAGCTCTTGTTTCGTCGTTTTCTCTAATAGTTCACGCGGACACTTAATTCACAAAATCGCATCACTTTTATGAATCAAAATCCACTTCGAACCATTATTCAAGCGACAATCCGCCTACGGCCGGAATCTTTATGATTGTATAAATACATTCAGCGATTGGGCTCAAACCTTCTTTTATTTTTCAATAGAAGGTAAAAATTAAGCCCTTAGTTTTGGTGGCCGGAAAGATGACCTTCAAAAAAATACTACGCCATTTTTATAAAAACTAAGCTAAAGAATTTAACAATGAACTTATATTCTTAAAGTACACAAAATAAGCTTTCTATTACAAAAAAAAATCACTCCAAATAATCCTTGAACATAAAAATGTTAAGCGATTCAAAAATATTAAAAATATAGTGTCCTGTCATATTATGACCGGTCATCAAGCAAGATATGAATTGAAAAAATTGAAAAGCGTGCAGTGCATTTATTTTTCTAAAAATATGTAATGATGATACTAACAAAGGAAAAAAAAGAAAATTAAAATCTATCCAAAATTATAATGTTATTTAATTTAATTATATATTATGTATATTACCTTTTTGATAAAATATAATGGCAAAACGTCGTTCCTATTATAACTGTTGCGTAGATGAATACTAAATGACCAACAAAAAGTTTTATATCATTCTTTAAGTTATCGAAGGATTTTAGAAGGAAGTTACGAAAGGTGAATTTACTTACTTTTTTTTTTTAGATAGGTACTTACAGCAAAAAATAATTAAGGGTCTACACTACCTCAGCTCAAATTACAATTTCGCCTCCACTTTCCCAGGCCACTCGTTCGCATACTATGCGTGGCTCGAGTTCACGCGGGAACACGAGCCCAAAGCGATTTTGTTAGAATAAAATAAACATTTATCGGACGAGCACTAAGTAGGTAATAAAGTTTTTAGTCATACTTTAATATTGTCATTATATGAACATAAAATTATATGTCGCAAATTTAATTTCATTGTACATACTAACGGTATATTCTTATAACTAAAATTTAAAAAATACTATAAGTAGACAGACATATTCAATTAAAAAAGCATGTGTTTATTTTTTATCAAAATGTCACAAATAGTCGTAGAAAAAATAAAAACTGATGCACATTTTTTCACATATTTTGCTAATACGGATGAATCATAAACTATTGCAATGAGGGCTATTTTATTTTTGGTGCCTGTTTTGATTTATTGTACAAAGATTTTGATGAAACCACAGTCTGCGCAAAGGTACTCTGTGAGTCCGCGCTCGGCCGCCGTCGTGAGTGGACACTGTATCGCCTGTTTGCAGCGGCTCATTCTGAAAAGATCGCTGTACATACACAAAATATTAGAAAAAAAAAACAAATTGGAAACATAAGTACTTGACAAGTGATAAAATTATTGTTTTTATACTCACAGTTTTTTATTTAGCTAAAAATAAGTAGGATTTATATACATATAAACTTACCTCTGGACTTGATAGAGTGATCTGAAGGTAACTACTACTGCAACTCCTGGACGAGCGGAACTAGGTGTGCCGAGTTCGGACTCGTTTTGTTAGTTATGATGAGACCTTACCACCGGACTTGATGGAGTGACCTGAAGGTGTAATTCAGTGATTATATTTAGAACTCCTAGACTAGTAGAACTAGGTGTGCCGAGTTTGGGTTCGTTTTGTTAGTTATGATAAGACCTTACCACCGGACCTGATACACCATCAGGTCACTCCATTAAGTCCAGAGGTAAGGTCTCATCATAACTATCAAAACGAACCCAAACTCGGCACATCTAGTTCTACTAGTCTAGGAGTTCCAGTTATAATCACCGAATTACACCTTCAGGTCACTCCATCAAGTCCGGAGGTAAGGACTCGTCATAACTAACAAAACGGAGGCCAAATTCGGCACACCTAGTTCTACTCGTCCAGGAATTTCAGTAGTAATTACTGAAATACACCTTCAGGTCCCTCCATCAAGTCCAGTGATAAGGTCTTATCATAACTAGCAAAACGAATCCGAACTCGGCACACCTAGTTCTACTAGTCTAGGAGTTATAGTTATAATCACCGAATTACACCTTCAGGTCACTCCATCAAGTCCGGTGGCAAGGTCTCATCATAACTAATAAAACGAACCCAAACTCGGCAAACCTAGTTCTACTAGTCTAGGAGTTCCAGTTGTAATCACCGAATTACACCTTCAGGTCACTCCATCAAGTCCGGAGGTAGGTAAGGTCTTATTATAACTGACAAAACCAGTCCAAAGCCCACAGCTAACATCTCACTACCAGTAGAGGGCTTCCAGTGCCAAGCAATCTCTGGAGCAGGTATTCGTATTTCGTATCTAAGTATACTTCTGAGGTATAAGAAATGAAAAACAAATTCAATCTTTCAAATTATCAAAATAATTTCATTTGACTACGATTCCCGCAGCCAACCGTGCGTACACTTGTGTGTGTGACTCGTGTCGTCAATGTAGTAGTTCGATTCTATACCTATCAATTTTGTAAACGCTTAATATTTTAATTTTACGTCGTCCTGTTACGTAATGTGTGTCCTGAGCACAAGCGATACAACCCCCCTGTCCAAAAGCCGAAGCTAGAGTGAAGTGAACGACGGTGTCGGGCGGCAGGTAACAAACTTTAAAACGACGATAGTTTAGGTAATTTCTTTTTACGGTGAAAATAATGATAATTAAAAAAAAAAGTAAATAACATAAGCCCTGCTTTATAGTTGGTTCAGTTAGTATGCAAAGTTTCATGATCTAATATTAAGTATTTTTTGAATACAAGCGTTTATAATTTGGTTTAGAGGTAATTTTGGATTTTTTTTCTGTCGAGAAAATTTTATGGAATCGTGTTTTTGTCTAACATAGTACTTAACATTAGTCCTCAACTTCGCCATAAATTTATTTCAAAAACAATGCTGCAGTATTTTCGGCATAACAGAGGATCTTGTTAAGCCATTTGAGGTAGTGTAGGCTCTTAAGTAATAATTTGATCTACAGAAGAAATACCCAAGTACTTTATTACAAAAATTAAATAAAATTTACTTCACTATCTAAGTATCTACTTACATACCTACCTATACTTGTCTTTTGTAATTAAAATATTTTAAGTTGTAATAACACAAAATACTGAAATTAAAACTTTGTATACTAACAAGGGGGTCATTGTAAAAGCGTGCTCGTCGCGACCCCTGCCAGCCCTTTTCAGGGCTGCAATTCTACACAGCTGCGCACCCATGCAAACGAGGGTTAGGGCGTCCCCCCAAGGCGACGCACACCAGCTCGTCCCCGTTGGTGTGGAATGCAGCGCGCAAAGTGGCGATGGGGACCGCCACCCGTCACGCACAGCCCGACACGGCGGAAGGTGGAGGACGGAGTGCAGAGTTGGCACGTGGAATGTTAGAGGGGGGCATGAGAGATAAGACGAATGAGTTGATCGAAATGAAGAAAGAGAATTAGATGTCGTGTGTATGTCGGAGACCAAACGGAAAGGCAGTGGTACTGAAGAGCTCCCTGGCGGGACGTTAGCTATATGGTCCGGAGTCCCGGAAAGCGAGAACGCCTGCCAGGGAGTGGGAGTGCTATTGTCGTCCCGGTTGGTCGATCTTGTGACTGAATACAAGGTTTGAACTCAAGACTTCTCTGGTTTGCTTCAAAATGGGATTGACGAAGTTATTCCTTTTGGCTGTTTATGCGCCGGTAGCTTCGTCGTCCAGGGCTGAGCTGGAGGAGTTTTGGGAGAATGTAAGAGAAGTTCTAGATTTGGTTAAGTGAAACGAAAGAACAGTTGTATGTGGTGATTTGAATGGATGGGTAGGTATCGCTCGACCAGGATACGAGTCGGTGCTTGGAAAGTTTGGCGATAAAAGGGTTAATGATGCTGGCAAGCTTATACTGGCTGTATGCAAGGAAAAGGGTCTTCTTGTGACAAACACTATGTTTAATCACAGGAAAATCCATATGTACACTAGAGAAAGAAAGAATGAGAGAAGTATGATTGATTTGTTCCTGGTGGATGACCGACTGCGAAAACAGGTGATGTAACGTTGTTCAGGGGTGCTGACTGGAACGACATTACAGTAATTACTAGATTTAGGGGTTTGTTCGCGGGTTGGCGCTACCGGACGGCAGTAACAGAACCACAGTCGGTCTGTCGCATCCGAAGCTGGAAGCTTCAGGAAGCGGATACTAGGGACAAATATCACACGAGGGTAGCCGAAAAGCTTGACACCATCGATGGCAGGAAAGAATGTGTGGAAAGAACATGGCAGAACCTTAGGGATGGAATGGTAAGTGCAGCGGAAGAAGTATGTGGTACGACAAAAAGAGGTAGTAGTAAAAGAAGAGATGCATGGTGGAATGATGAAGTGAGAGAAGCTGTAAAAAAAGAAGAAAGAAGCATGGTTAGACTACTTGGCCTCTAGTAACGATGAGCATATGAGAGAGAAGATGAAAGAAAGATATAAGCTGCAGAAAGTTCATGCGAAAACATTGATTGAGGAAGTACGTGAAAGGTGTAGAATAGAAGCGGACGAGAGGTTGTCGCACAACTTTAGGGAAAACTCCAAACTCTTCTGGAAAGAGGTTGGAAGGTCCCGGGGTGGTGCGACAGCCTTAAGAATGAACAAAGTGCTTTCGAGAACCAATGACGTCCTCTCAGAAAAATCTGACGTCATGCAGCGATGGAAGTGAATTTTATAGAGAAATGTATGCGTGTCATGATCTTAGTGAAGGATCCGAGGGTGACGCCGTGACTGGCACGCCAGACACGGACCTCGATGACACTGAGGTCATCAGCATGAAAGAGATTGAACGTGCGATTTGAAGTTTGAAATGTGGTAAGGCGGGACTACAGAGTTACTGCTGAAATGGTCAAGTACGGTGGGCCTCGCGTCTGGGACAGCTTCCATCTGCTGTGCAATTTGTGCTGGCGGACGGGAGATGTCCCGGATGATTGGCGATCCGCGGTCATTGTGCCTTTATATAAAGGTAAAGGTTCACATTTTGACTGCGGGTGCTATCGGGCGATCAGCTTGACCAGTTTAGCAAGTAAAGTTTACTCGAAGGTTTTGACACGTAGGATGCAAGAGAAATCGGAAAGATTCTTATGGGAGGCACAATGCGGATTTAGACCTGGAAGAGGATGCACGGATCAAATGTTTTCTCTCCGCATGATCACGGAGAAGCTTCTGAGTGTTAACCAGAAGATTTTCTGTGCTTTTGTGGATCTGGAGAAAGCATTTGATAAGGTTATAAGGAAGAAAATGTGGGAACTGTTGCCGGGATATGGTGTGGATGGTCGATTGTTAAGGGCTGTGCAGTCACTTTTCTATGACTGTAAAGCCTGTGTGCGGGTAGGGCGTGACCTGTCACCCATGTTTAGCGTCCAAGCGGGCGTAAAACAGGATTGTGTCATGTCTTCCTGGCTGTTCATACTGTATCTCGACAGCTGTTTACAGAAGCTGAAAAATAGCTGTTTGGGTGTGAAATTGGGTGACATAAAAGTTAATTGTCTGCTGTATGCTGATGATGCAGTGCTTATTGCACCATTAGAAGCAGAACTGCAGGCATTAGTCACGTGTATGAAAGAGGAATGTGAAGTTAAAGGTCTCCGTTTGAATGCTAATAAAACTAAGGTTCTGGTATTTGAAAAGGACGAAGAGAGAACGAAATGTGAAATATGGGTAAATCAGGAATGTCTAGAACAGGTAAATGAAATTGTATACTTGGGGAGTGCTTTCAGCCGGGATGGAAGATGCGATTTAGATGTGGATAGGCGTGTCGCTGCCGGAAACAAAGTCAATGGTGCCCTGAATGCATTAGTAAAAAGGCAAGGCGTGGTGAAGAGTGCACGCCTTGCAATACATAATGCAGTGTTGGTACCGACTTTGTTATATGGCAGCGAAACCTGGGTATGCCAGAAGAAGCATAAAAGCAAGTTGAATGCAGTGGAGATGCGATCTCTTCGTAAAATGTGTGGCGTTACCTTAGCCGACCGAAAGCGAAACGAAGAGATTCGCAATATGGCAGGATTGAAAGATGACCTTATCACAAAAATTGATAGGGGCGTACTCCAATGGTTTGGGCACGTTGAACGAATGAGTGAAGACCGAATGGTGAAGAAAATATATAGAGCGAAAGTAAATATTAAAAGGTGTCGAGGTAGACCGAGACTAACTTTCGAAGACCATGTGAGCAAATTGCTCGAAGAGGGGAGGGTCAAGAGTACTCGGATACCTAGATGTGCATGTATGAAGAAGTTAATGAACCTGAAGGAAGCGAAAGAGGTATGTAAGGATCGTGACACTTGGCGATCTGTTCTCTCTGGCTACCCCGTTAGGGATTGTGCGTGAAGATAAGTAAGTAAGTAAGTAAGTATACTAAAAAGATTTTTAACTAAGTAGAACAGATCACATTTCTGTTAGGAATCGTATTTCAGATTTATTTGTTGTCTACACTATCTACCTATTTCTTCTGAACAAAGCATCGTGATTCTTGACGAATATATCCTTGCAATTTGCATGCGTTAGTAATCGCAGAACTCACGTAGGGGCGAAAATATGGTCAGTCGATCATATTCAGAATAGGTACTTCACCTAAGTAACTTAATTAACATTTCGCAATATATTTTTTTTACTTAAGAAGGGGATAAGTCGCTCGCGTCCGTAGGCTTTGACCACCTAATCCTAGGCCCACCCTACACGTGTCCCCCGGGTGGTGCTAAATGAGCGACAAGCCGAAGGCACAGACTCGGCTCCTTGCCGTGGTAGCGGCGTAAAATATACTACCCCATATTTCGCACCATGAGGAACCAAACAAAAGAAATGGCCCCGAATTCCTGGCGCCCCTTTAATAATAATAATAATAATAATAAGACGACAGACCAGCTGCCACGCATAAAAGCCACCATGGATCTTCCAGTTGTGGCTGAATCGGACGATGATGAAATAGTCTCCCACGAACTAGAGCAAATGAGAAGTATATTGGAAGAGGCGATTTCGAAAACGCGCAGCACGCCTCTCGAAAATCGACCGCGACTTCCCCCGCATACCCCTAAGCAAGCGAAATCGGGCTGTCGTGAGGGCTCTTAACCCAATGCTGGTAACCTATTTGAAAGCCAGCCGGGACCTTTGCGAGACGGACTCAGTTCTTTTTGGCGCCGCAGTGGCAGCTTGCCGTATTATTGGCGCCAAACTTCCCATGGCTGGACGCGCTACTAAACAAAGTAGCGCCATCCCAGCCTGGAGAAAAAGAATTGAGGACCGTATCGCAAAGGCAAGGGCCCTTATCGGCAGACTGACAAGCTACAGGTCGGGTAATAATAGACCGAGAGTTGTGCGCACCGTTAGAATGGCGTTTGCTGGGACAAATTTTAGTTTGTCCCAGCCGGATATCACGCAAAAACTAACGGAGCGCATAGATGATCCTGAAGCAAAAAATCGCTGCTTGGGGGGAAGCGGATTCGACGATTTACCGAGAGGTCAAGGCGGTTCACCAGAATCGTCTCTTCCAGAGTGATCAGAAGAGGCTCTATAAATCATTGGAGCGACCAGAGATATGTGGTGCGGGCCCAGGACCGGATCAGGCTAACACTGTCGCATTTTGGCGTGGCCTGTGGTCAGAGCCCGTAAACCACAGCGAAGGCCCTTGGACGGAAGTTGTGGCTAGTCAGTGTGCGAGTATTACGCCCATGGACCCCGTCATCATAACGCCGGATGACGTAGCTGAGGCGGTCCGTAGAGCCGCGAACTGGAAAAGTCCAGGACTCGACGGGCTGCATCACTACTGGCTGAAGGAGTTCATGGTGTGTCACGCTGTGCTCGCCCGTCAGTTTCAAGAGGCTCTCAACCAGAGGTCGCTCCCTAGCCTCTTCACTACTGGGATCACTCATTTGGTTCCGAAAGACCAGGTTACCACAGACCCGAGCAAATACCGCCCCATTACGTGTCTACCCACCATATACCTATAAGACACTGACATCCATTTTGAGCGCGAGAATCACTCGTCATCTGGAGCTAAATCAGGTGATGTCACGCGCTCAAAATGGATGTCAGGGCGGTGGTCGTGGAACTAAGGTATGACTCCTCATTGACGCGGTCATTGGCAAAGTGGTGAAACGCAACTGTCGGAACTTCTCCGCCGCCTGGATAGACTACAGAAAGGCAGTCGACTCGGTGCCCCATACATGGCTAAAGAGAGTCCTCGAGCTGTACAAGATAGACTGTACAGTGAGAGACTTCCTCGAGCAGTGTATGGGACAGTTGAGTACGATCCTTTGTCATCTGGGCGAGCGGATGATTGCTGCGGAGAACCACATAAGGATAAGAAGGGGTGTCTTCCAGGGCGATTGTCTGAGTCCAATCTAGTTCTGCCTCTCTCTGAACCCTCTCAGTACCTTACTGGAGGGATCCGGGAGGGGATTTCAGCTACGGAAAGGAGGGACAAAAGTGACCCACCTACTTTTCTATATGGATAACCTCAAGTTATTGGAATGGAGCTGGGGACGGATAAGTGTGCGGTCCTCCATGTTGAAAGGGGAAGGGTTGCTAACTCTGAGGGCATAGATTTATTTATGCCCGTTAACTTAAGGACCCTTTCTGAGGCTGAAACATACCGATACCTGGGTATGTCACAGAACATCGGTATCGATGAGGCTGGTATGAAACAGTCGGCTTGCGACGTGTTTTATGCACGCTTGGCCAAAATGCTTAATAGCCTTTTGTCCAGTGTGAATAAGACAGACGCATATAACGGTTGGGTCATGCCTGTCCTCATGTATACCTATGGCATACTCAGGTGGATTCAGACTGAACTTAACGCCCTGGATAGAAATTTCCGCACTACCATGACGTTCCATAGGATGCATCATCCGAGATCGTCGGTAATGAGGCTGTACTTGCCGTGAAAGCATGGTGGGCGTGGCTTTCTGAGCGCGATCACCATGCATAATCTTGAAGTGTGCAGCCTCCGTCATTACTTCCTGGTGAGATCGGATGATCCATTCTATAATGACGTCATCCATGACCAGGATTGGACGGAATTAGACTGAAAGATTTAAAGTTAGTAAAGAAAAAAATAAGTCCAATACTGGCCCATTTTGCTAATATGTGCTTGTCAAAAGGTGTTTATCCTGATTTATTAAAGAAATCAATCATTCGCCCCATATTTAAACATGGTAGTCATTTAGATTACAGCAATTACAGGCCAATTGCCATTTTATCATCGGTCAATAAGATTGTTGAAAAGGTGGTTGTAGGACATATAACTGACTTTTTTGGAACTGCATAATATATTATCAGAGGCACAACACGGATTTAGAAAAAATCGCAGTACAGCTTCCGCACTTGCACTATTTTCGGATACGATTAATGAATACTTAAATCAAGGAAAACAGGTTATGGTTTTGTTTATTGATTATAAAAAAGCCTTTGATACTTTGGACCATAATATGTTATTGCAAGCGATGGAGGAGTGTGGAATCAGGGGCCCTACAAATAACTTTTTCCGTAGCTATCTATCTAATAGAACGCTTCGCACTGTAGTGGATGGCGTTGTGGTAGAGGAGGCCAGTAATAGCTTGGGTGTACCGACCGGTTTTGTTTACGGTCCTGTGGGTTATATTATGCATGTATACAGTGTATCTAATGTAATAAAAAACTGTCAAGTGTATATGTATGCGGATGATATGTGCTTGCTATTTGTCTCTAAAGAAACAAAAGACTTGCAAAATAATATACAAATTGATTTTGAGTTTGAAATTGAATATAACAAAATGGGCCCATGATAATGGCATAATTTTAAATTTTAATAAAACAAAATGCATGCATATACTTACACTCTCCATATAATGCTGCAGCAAAAAAGACCAAATTGAATGAGATAGCTGTTATAGGCCACGGTTTGAGTGCTTGCATAATAATAAAATTAATTGTAAATGTAAAGAAATTGAATTTGTTGAGAGATTTAAGTATTTAGGCTTGATTATTGATAAAAACTTTAATTGGAAATCTCATATATCTGATGTATGTGTAAGGTTGTCGGCTGTATTATGTAAATTTTATAATTTAAAATATATCATGAACAAAAAAACTATGTACTCGTATCTTCTATATTATGCTTTGGTGGATTCCCTCATAACCTATGGACTTGGTGTGTAAGGTCGTACTTTTTCTGCCTATTTAAAGGACATTAAAAATCTACAGACAAGATTTCTAAAACATCTTGTAAATGAAAAAGTTAAAGAAAATTGTAAGAAAGATTATGTTAAGTTATTCTCTATTTGTAAAATTTTACCGGTAGAACACAAAGTTAACGTGCTATTAGTTCTGGAAAACATTAATAAAAACCATTATAACGAAAAATTGGATAATAAATATAGAACCAGGAAAGTTAGAGAAGGGAAATTGTTTCAGCCTAGTGTTAAAAACTACTATGGCAAAAGATGTACAAAATATTTAATACCAAAGCTTCTTACTGAAATAGATTGGCTAAGGCAAGATAGACCTAATTGCAAATTAAAAATTAAAAAGAAACTTGAAATGAAACAACGAATGAAAAAACGAAGAAATATTTTATGGATAAAATGCTAGATAATGTGCATTTAGAAAACTATTATTTGTTTGTAATACTTAAAAAAATATATCCGGGTTATATTTACAATTTTTATTTTGTTGCAATGTTATGTGGGTGGGGTGTTGTATTTGGAATTGATAGAGTGTGGAATTTATAGTGCTCATCTGCATCTGCGAACATTTTAGAGGCACTACAGCGCCATGGCAGCCTCAACAGCATCCTAAAGACGTTGTTATATTGAACACACAGGGCGCTGTAGGTACGGCGCGTATAAGTCACCCACAGACCACCGGTATGGAAAGTCTGACAGAACACTTTAAATAAAGTTACTTTCACGTCTGCAGTGCACCGGGTGAATCTGCGGGCAAGCATATTGCCCCTTACCGACAACGCTCTGCGCTCTCGTTCAATATCCTCATCATCTCCTAAGTCGCTCGTAACTATATGACCGAGATATTTAAAATTCTGTACGACTTTCAGAGGTACACCATCGAGACATACGGGTGGCACATGTCGTGGCTTCCGTTTCGGTGCCATAAATACTAATATTTCACTCTTTTTTGAGTTGTATTTTAGGCCATGCTCCTCCGCATATGTCTTGCAGGGTTAATGGGGCAGGGGTGCGAAGAATCTCCGGGAGGAAAACTGGCGACGAGGTTCGCCACCCGTCACGTTCTGTCTCCCGGAGGGGCGAAAAGTGGATTGCAGAGGCCGGTCTGCCTACGTTGAATGTATGTGGAGCAATGAATGATAAAATGGATGAAGTATGCGATATGATGTA